TAGTGATGGATTTATAAACAATATGATATTGATTTGCCTTGGAGAAAAAACATGTGTTTTAAGCAAGAATGGTTGATAATGCTACCTTTTGACATGGAGAAAAATAATCTGATATGGTCACCACAATTTTTTATTTTGTTGTAGTGATGGACATATAAATGAACAGATATCGATTTGTCTTAGATATCGATTTGTCTTAGATAAAAAAGCATGTTTTTAAGCATGAATGGTTGGTGATTCTACCTTTTGACAATCATAGATCACTGCAATTTTCAATTTTGTTGTATTGAATTACTGATGGATATATAACAAATGAATACTTCTTTAATTTCAGTTCCACTAATCATTAATTCTGCATTTGCCTATGTTTGCAGCCAAGGGACACATGTTATGTAGCTAGTGTTGGATTGCCTGACTTGATTTACAGTGGATATCAGCCTCGTGCTTATTCTTGGGATGAATTCCCCCCGCTTAAGGACATCTTGGATGCGGTTAGTAGGCAGTCACCAGTGTTTACTATGCCTTTCTCTGGTTCCATCTAATGTGGTTGCTTATTTCTTTAAGGTCCATAAAATTCTTCCCGGGAGTATGTTTAATAGTTTGCTTTTGAATCGGTACAAAGGGGGTAATGACTACATAGGCTGGCATAGTGATGATGAGAAGCTCTATGGCGCCGTTTTTCATTTTTTTCCCTTTCAAGCATTTTTCAATCCCGTCGTTTATTGAAGTAATGTTACTTTGAAATCCAAGGTCCACAAATTTAACATTAAATCAATTGATATTTCAATTTCTTTAATTCTATACAAGTAGTGCATTTGCAAGCTCAGTTCCTGAAATTCTATTCAAAATTAGATTTATCACAGGTAAAGTGCCTACAATTTAGGTTCAAGTTTGGATGCATAATTGTCAAGTGATCCATCTAACTAAAGGGTCTTAATCTTCATGTAGAACTAATTAATATGGAACTGTTCCTTAAGATCATTTTATAAAGTGTATTCATGTTGAACTCTCTCTTGCATACTCATCATTCAATTGTGACTGGAGTGGTACATCATAATTCTCTGAGTTTGGAGTTTTATAAAGTTTTGAAACTATGAAGCTGCTTTTCTTTTGCAGGGACAAGCTCTGGCATACTTATATAATGTTTTTTTGGTTGGTTTTGATAGTCCTTACTAGGGTATTTGTACCTTCATTTGGACTAGAATATAAATCTCCCATTCTATTTATAAATTTTTTATTTCAAATTACCAATTTAAGAGTTCATGGTCCTTGATTGTTACTAGCCTTCCAATTACTTCAATTGGAGAAGAAATTCAGTATAAGCAATGAGTAGCTTTTGGTGCAAATACTTAAAAGAGATTTTTTTTGTTTATATCAAAACAACTTCATGGTGAAGTGTTATAGTAAGATGATCTATTCAAGCTTTAAACTCGTACCAATAAACATGCTAGTAACAAATACAGGTAAGTCCTTGAATATATTATTCTTTTTATTCTTTTCTTTTTGTTTATATTATACCGTACTCTCGAAAGTTTTATGGTCCATATTTTTCTTTGAAAGCTTCACTCTAATAATTTGATACTTTTCTAGGAGTTGCGAAGCTCAAACTCAGATATAATATATTTTCTTTGTTATCTCTTTGTTTTCTGTATATGTACAGTCCTTATGGGTTTGAAGTAATGATATAATTCTTCGTTTTAAGGAATTCAGAAGAATCAAGCAATGAGGGAACATGCTTGTTAGCACAGTGTTCGGGGACTTAGAGGACTTGTCTTGAGACCAAATATTCTTTCTTGTTGTAGTACAATGGTTCTACCCTTATTTATATTTTTCAACTGTATTTAGCAGTGCTAATTTGACATTTCTTATTCATTCACTTGCCCCTTTTTTGCAATAGGCACTTGATGATAATGTCAAGTTAAAGCTCTCTCCGTTTTGCCATGTTCCGGTAATGAAACATGAATTCTATTTGGCTGCTTATCTTCCATCTCCTAAATCAGTAACTACTGTTATTAAGAAATATGACTTCTTTTTAGGCCGAAAATACTGTCACTCTCTATGACGTTCCAAATATTAGGCACATTCCTTTACTACTAAGAGTAAGTAGTTCACTTTTTGAGTTCTTTTTATCGTCTAAAATTCTTATAGTACAAAGTTATAACTAGAAATATATGTTCCTTGATTCATTTGTTTATTTTACTGATCATGAATAGGATCAAAAGGCACATGAAGCAATCTTGAAATGATTGAACCTACTAGGGTTTTCCCTATGAATTTTGAGGGACTTAGACATGCATGCTTTCTTGATCCAAAATTATAAGATTTCATTGCTTATCCCTCTTTTGTATTTCCTTAACTTTTCTAAGAATACAAACTTGCTCAGATTCTTGGGGTAAGAATTCTAACTTCTAAAAGTAAGATGGCAACCAATACATTATTAAAATTTTTTTCTTTATGATGACATTTTTTACATTCTTATGTAGAATATATTTTAGTTTTCATGGTTCCTGACTTCCTGTTTTTGTTGTTTTATTGCAACATCTTTTTTCAGTTCTCAATCACTTACATGTATGTTATGAATGTAAGTTCTGCTGGTTGTTTCCTTCTCTTCTTAGTCTCATCTAAATTATTGTAATTGCAGTAATCTTGAAGAACAAACTTCAACAAAAAGCGGCTTCTTCAATAGACTGGCACAATGTTTCCCATTTGTTTTTAATCTATTGAGGAGAAATCATTCACTATCAAATGATACTTTCAAATAAGATGTCAAGACGATGAATATGACAAATTCCAATAAAGTGGGAAACAAAGTAGCTTTAGAAGGCATATCTGGAGGTTATGATGATGACGCTAGTGAAATTGAGGATGTATCAAACAACAAATCCATGTATATCTACACTTTGAGGTTCAGTTGTAACTCATTTGTACTTTAATGTCTTTTAAGGTTCTCTCTCCATAAAAAAAACTTTAATTTATTTTGTTTGTTAAGAATTTTTCTTTATGTTTTTTTGTCTTAATTAAAATGTATGGTTGTTGTTAATTAGATATAAATTTAGGTGATGTATAGCAGAAATGAAATATGCAAAATCAATTAATATTAGCTAAATAAAGGTAATTAGCGGCGTTTGTATCCAAAAACGCCGCTATATGTCTGACTTTTTGCGGCGTTTGTGTTCAAAAACGCCGTTATATGTCTGATATTTTGCGACGTTTGTGTCCAAAAATACCACTATAGGTCTGACCTTTTACGGCGTTTGTTCTAAAAACGCCAGTATAAGTCTTATCTTTTGCGGCGTTTGTATACAAAAACGCCGCTATAGATCTGACCTTTTGCGGCGTTTTTTTCTAGAAACGCCGCTATATATCATAACTTTTTGCGGCGTTTATTCCAAAAACGCCGCTATAGATATCGACCTTTTGCGGCGTTTGTTCAAAAAACGCCGTAATAGATATTGACCTATTGTGGCGTTTTTTGTTCTCAAACGCCGCTAACTTTAGCGGCGCTGGTATTGCCGGCGCTTCTTGCGGCGTTTTTCCTATCGCCACAAATACTTTTAGCGGCGCTTAAAAACGCCGCTATAAGACTAAAAAACGCCGCTAAAACTCTGTTTTGCTGTAGTGAGGTTAACAGCTGTAATTTCGAAACACATAGGAACAAATAAATGTTGCTCATTCCATTGTTGAACATATACAATATACTTCCTCAACCAATTCTATAGAGCGCGTCCATATCAAATATTTGCGTAGGAAATGGTTGATGGGACGTAAACTGTCGCAACACTCTATATGTGGCGTGCATCTCAACAAATCACAAAGTGAAGCTAAGGCGTAGCAACACACCACAACTTTGAGGCTTCAAAAAATTCAGTGGTAGTAACAGGTAGATCTCATCGTCACAATACAGAATCCAAGAAAACTATAAACATTAATTATAAAAGTTAGTATAGATATAAAAAATTAAAAATAAATAAAAATAAATTTAAAATTTTACTAAAAATAAAATAAAAAATTACTAAAATAAGATTTACCTAATGTCAAATAGCGATTTTGATCCTCATTCGTACATCATATTTATTTATACTTGACAAGTTTGTCTCGGTAATTTTATGCCATCATCTAAATAATATAATAAATAAAATTAAAAATGATAAAAAGTAAATTTGAAAATTTACTAAAAAAATAAAGTTAAAAAATTACCTTATAATAAGAGAAAACTCAACGGGACTACTGTAATTGGCATAAAAAATGAAACATTAACCGGAACACCGAGTTTGTAAGCGACATCTTACAACGTAATTGTCGCTTCACCACTCGGAAAATAGAAAGTATGTGTTTCGGGATTCCAACTTTCAATCAACGTCAAAATCAATGACGGGTTCACCTTAAAACCATTTGGAAATGCAGCTGGATACAACCTGAATTATTGCAGATATATAATAATCTGATGATGTAGATCTCTAAGTGTCATTCCTCGTTACTAAATGCCCCGTTCTTCTTTCAGAGTGAATTTAAGCGAAGAAATATGAATATCATCAAGGCGTAAGATTTCATCTCAGGTAGACATTTTCATGAATTCTTCAAAAAGAAATACAAAATTTTCTTAATTTTTTTTCTTAGTAATACACAATAAAAATCTTAAACCCAAACTCATATTTATAACCCTAAATCCAAATACTATAATTTTCAAAAATCTTATAGAACTCGTCACATCTATTAAAACTCTCGTTGCCTAACAATTATAAACGATTAGTTTTTTTCAGTGATAAATTTAATTTTTTTAATTTTAAATTAATTACTAAATTAAAAAATTAATTTCCACGTGATAAATCTCTTAAAATATATTATAATATTAACACAACAAACTAAAAAGAAGATGCAAATGATTTCAACTTAAAAAGGAAATTACTCAAATTCCAACAAAAACCTTACATAAAACAGCACACTCTACACATACATACGTATATACATTTCAGCTTTATATATAAAGCCTTGCATGGGGTTTATTTGAGCAGCTTCGAAATCCAGTCAAAATGTGACAAATACGAATCCGCCATCTCAACTCCGCCGCTAAAGAAACTATTATTATTGTTGTTGTTGCTTTTGTTCGTCGCTCTTGCCTCGGCTTCCCTCATCTTCAATGTCCTCAAGCTCTTGAGCAAACTTGAAAACCCTTCCAACTGCAGTGGTGATGGGTCGACAAAATGTGCCTGCATTGGCCTGGAACCTTCTCCGCTGCCCGATAGAGACCCAACCACCATCATCAGCTTATGATTATCACCACCGCCGTTCATCATCGTCATCTTTCCCTTGCTTTTTGGGTTAGGGCTGTTGAATTTTGGCTTGGAGGACCTCAGCTGGTCAGGTGAGTGGGCAAAGAAGCAAACCCTACGTGTGCAGAACTTACCTGCACTGCATGGATGGGTGCGGTATTTGGCGGGGTGCAGCCAGAACTCGAACACTCCGTGAGCCAATTGGCAGTTGTCTCCATTTGGGCATATTCCGTCGCGGAAGGCGGGGCAGACAACAGGGATGTAAGGGTACTTGAGAGGGTCACGGCGTTGAGCCTTCTCGCCGCGGTGGGCGAATGGGCACTGGGTCCAGTCGTGGCTGCGCATCCTGGTGCAGCGCTTGATCTTTAAACCGTACATCCGGAATTCATCAGACTCATAGATTGCTTTATCAATGGCTTCGTTGTTTTTAGTAGCCTCAGCTTCAGCTTGTGCTTTGACATGCGCCTGGGCAAGGTTAAAGTTGGAGATGAACTGTTTCTCTGCAAAATCGTTGAAATTTTGGTTCACCAGATAGAATCAGTGGCAAATGAACAGATAATGCAAAACCAAATACAGCTACAAAAAATATTTATCAGTGCAACACAGATGAAAACTAAAGGAAACCCTTGCAAGAAATTAACGATATTTAGAGGAGGAGAAGCTGAAGCACTTGAGGAGGTTAGATTGGGTGGAGAAGTAAAAAAGTAAAAGTTAAGTCATGGAAAAGTTACGTTTCAACTCCATAACCATTAACCTGATTTTAACCTAAGGAATGACACGAACGAGATTTTATATTAAAGAAATATATATATAATATTTTAAATGATATAAATTTATAAAATTTTAAAATAAAATAAATTATTAATAAAAAATTTCAAAATTTTTAAGAAAATGGATAACTCTAACTAGACTCTCGGACCATCGCAGCTAGAAAGTCTTCTCTCTTTTCTATCTCATTTCTCAACTGAAAATAGGGGTACATATTTTCTTTAAGAATGGTAACGACTTCGATATTTACTATTTTCGTAAAATTCAATTATAGGTGTGAATTTATAAATCTGTTTTAAAATTTAGTTTCTCTTGTCATCTATATTATATTTAAATTTAAATTTTTATAAAGAATAATATTATGGCAGGGGATTAGTATTATCTAATAATAAAATATGCTTAATACAAAAATAAGTGATTAAACTTTACTTCGAAAAACGTTTTATTACCTAAAGAATTATTTACTAAAAATAGATGTCTAATGTTTTCTCTGTTATATTTTTAGGTGTCTGGACGTCAACCGACGTTAAAATCTAACCGTTAAATGACACTTGTCATGTTATGATATTTTTAATTTTAAAAAATATTTTATATTAAAAAAACAGTTATCGGTTTTGTTATTTTTTTTACCGATTTTGTTATTGTTGGACACTTTATCAGAAATATTAAAAATAATAATGTTTTAAGTAAAAATAATTATATTTTAAGTAATTTTTTACCAATTTTATTAATAAATAATAATTAAATTAATAACATATTTCTTTAACCATATATTAAAACGGCCTCACTTTATTGCTGATTTCATTTTCTTTTCTTTTAAAAATATTATTAAAATATTGCCTCCCTTTTAACGCCTTTTGGTTGAGCCCAACTTATATAAGTAAATATTTATATTCATTTTAAGGGTTGTTTATATGATTAATCGTTCTTGTTTATATTTTGTTAATTCTTTTCTTATTGGTTTAAAAAAAAATATAATATATGATCACTTTTATTTTGATTTGATTAAGATGTAGTCACTGAAGATTAGTTGCCATTAGATTTTGAACGAAGTGTTAATGTGTCATAGTAAATATATAAAATTAAAAATGGTAAATTACACAAATGATCACTAATCGTTTAATAAATTTTATTTTTCTACTGAAGTTTTGAATATAATAAATTGGTTAGTACCATTTTTTGATATATGTCTCCCTAAGCGGTTTCTTCATCCCCTTACTCCACACCTTTAGATTGAAAATTTCTCGAACTTTTCCGCCCTTGAATTCTCGTCTTCATTGGTATGAAATACTTCATCAAATTTTTGTAGCCCACTTTTCTGTGTTAATAGATGACGGAGAGGGAGAATAGAAGAATCATAAGGAACTATTTGATGGTTTAGTGACCAATTTGTTTGTTTTGAAATTTCAGTGAAGGAAACAAAAACTTACTCAAACATTAGTGGCATCTGTGTAGTTTACGCTTTTTAATCTGCTAAAAATTTAACGACAGATAACTCTCAGTGACCACATCTTAATTAAATAAAAATGAAAGTGACCAAATATTATATTTTTTGAAAAAAGGTGGACAAAACATAAACGAAAATGACCAATCATGTAGCTAACCCTAATTTTAATTATAGAGTTAAATATTTAAATTCATAAATTTTTGGTATGGTATAACATGTAAATAATTCTTCAATTATGAAATGTTTTTTGTTGAATTTTTTATTACGGAACATTATAAATGATTATTCAGATTAAAAATAATAATAAATTAATCGTTTTTCGTTAAAATGTGATATGAGATGACGTGTCATATAATAAAATTAATTTTATAATAATTTTAATTTTTAAATATATACTTTATTTTAATTTAATCCTAATTAAAAAATAATTTTTATAATTAATCATAAATACCTGTGGCAATTTTTATAATTTGGCGCAAGAATAGTTATTGGGGCCTTTATAATTAATCATAAATAACTCATAATTGGACTTTGTTTGTATAATATCTTCAACTTAATTATTCATTTTCTTATCCAATTGGACTAAGCAATTATGAATATGTGACTCTTCCTTAATTAATTAAAAATGGTTATCATCATTTTCACCAAAGAATCGCAACTTCATCATCGCCAAAAGTATCGTAATCCAAACCCTCGCACGAACGTAATGGATTCTATGATATGTCCATTATACTTATACTAAGCTTAACATCAAAAGATATATTTATTTTAGCTTACCATGACATAAACTTGCCTTACTTACCGAGTAGCATAGGTGAGCTTAAAGCTCTTTATCGTACATATCATAACATATCTTGTTTTATACTTACATATCACAGTTTAATTTGTTTCGTACTCATATGAGGCTTACGAAGATGAATACTTGGATTTACGTGACATATAACATAATTGAAACACAACACAAAAGATATTTATTAAACTTTTCTTAGATGCCGAATTTTTATCTTTCATTGCTCTAATTAATTGAATTACTCAAATTACTATAATGCAGATTTTCTTTAATTAAGAAAATAACCTAAATTAGCATTATAAGATACCTAGGCCCTAGGTTTTTACATGCACATGAAAGAGTTATAAAGCCTTACTTACAATTCAAATTATTAAATTCACCATTTCTTACGTTTAGTCCTTAATTGTATACCTTTAAGATTAAATCTTAGTGATTCAAAATTATTATGAATTTAATCTTAATGATTCGAAACTTAATTTGAATATTGAAAAGTAAATTTTGATCCCCGGCAATTAAAAAAATTATTAGATTGATTTTAGGTGTATTACATTTAGCATGGACATAAACCTCAACATGGGTTTTGGATTTAGTTAGAACAACAACCCATGGATACACCTAAGTCTATTTTAGCATCAAGTAAGGGGCTGTTTGTTTGCCTCTTAATGGAACCATTCAGCGCTGAATGCTGAACCGTTCAACATTCAGCGTGTTTGTTTCGCACCTCTGAATGATTTAGTGCTAACTGATTCAGCAAAACAGTGCTGAATGATTCAGCACAGAAGTACATTCTGAATGATTCAGAGCCATTATCAAACAACACGTCACATTCAGAGCTAATTCATACAGAGCCTCTGAATCATTCAGCATTTGAATCGTTCGGCGCTTAATCATTCTGAAGTAAACAAACAATCCCTAAGTCTATTTAAGAACTGTTCGAAGTTGAAGGAACAACAATAACAACTCATAAATATTGGGAAAAAATATCGAAGAAGAAATTTTAATTATAATTAAGGAGTCAAACGAAATGTTTCATATTTAATTTATCATGCAATGTTATCCCCTTTGCGATCGTGAATAACTCGATATATTTTACTCAATTTTTAACTAAAAATAAATAATTGATGTTGGACTTCTAAAGTCTAAATATGGTTAACGATCTAAAGTCTAAATATGGAATAATATATGAAAATTTATTTTAAAGAGATTTTTTTTGAATTTAAAAGAAGGAAATACCTTAAGCTCTCAAATATGGCAGACAGTGTAAGTCGCGAATAACTCATCTCTGAAAAAAGATGGAGGAATTGCGTGTAAGACGATGCCACCGAAAGGTGAATATACAACTTTTATGAGTGTGTCCGCAGCTAGGTTTGCTTCACGGGGGATCCATTGGAGTTGTGTTTCCCACTGTCTTTGCTGAAAAAGAATAATCATACGGACCAAGGGTTGGACATTAGACGCATTAGCATCGGCCTGCTCAATAATCTTGATAGCTTCGAGACTGTCGGACTGGATGATAACCTTGCTGTAGTGATGATTTCAGGCGAGATTCAAACCAATTGCAATGCCCCAAAGCTCAGCTTGAAGTGGCGTACAGTGGCTAGTGAATCAAGTGTAGCCTAGAATCTATCCTTCATTGTTGTCGCGCAACACCCCACCGATAATGCTATCTCCTGTGACTTTAGATACTGCCCCCATCACTTTACACAAATCCAACCTGGGGGACCTCTCCCATTGAATGAATCGGGGCAAAGCTTGGGTTCGTGGCAGTTTTGGTGTAAAAGCTGCTGTGAAATGTCTTGCCCAAAAAAGAGCAGCATGGAAAGTGGAATCCTTTGAGCTGCAATCCTGATTAAAAATAAAGGAGTTCCTCCTTTTCCAAAGCTGCCAAAGGATAGAGGGGAAGAGATGATGCCTGGAGTAGTTCAAGTCATCCAAAATAATGGTTCGTGTCAGGTTCCTATACTTCCACTCTTCAAGGTCTTGGTTGAAAAAGAAACCACGCCAATTCGATAGAACGATACGTCGCCAGAGCTGTTTAATTTCGCAACAATCACGCAAAACATGGAGAATCGATTAAGTTTTTCCACAAACACAGTAGATTGGGTCCGAAGTGAGGTGTCCCCTTGATTGTTCAAGATTTGTCATGATTCGTTGATGGACTGTGAGCCATATAAAGATTCGTATACGTTGTGGGAGAGAGAGCTTCCATATGAATACCCAAAGGAAGTTACGATTGGACTATGAGGAGGATGTTATAACTTCGTAAGCCGTGACAGAAAACTTGTTTCTCGGCCCCATTTCCACATACAAACATCATTACCATCCGAGGCTTGTGGCGGCAAGAGCCCAACAACGTGGTTAACTGCCTGTGTAAAAAGTAAGGAATTTAATAGAGAGACATTCCATTCGCCATCGGGTCCTACTAAATCAGTAAGGGTATAACAAGGGAGAACGTGGACAGAGTCGTGTTTGAAGTCGCGAAGAGGGCCTAGGCTGGGAAGCCAAATGTAACTTATTCGAAAATCAATAAAATTTTGTTTTTTTTTTAAATAATTCAATTATTATCTAAGGTCTTAAAATATTTCATTTCGATGGTAATTAAAATCACTTAACTAAATACTAATCAGCAAAGCATTATTCATAAATAGTAATATTTATTTATCATCTAAATAAACCTGATTCAAACACAACTATTTTTAAGTATCATAACCATTTAGTATAAATACAAACTAGTACTACAAACAT